TCATTTACAACAACTATGACAAACGTCACAGCAATCAATGGCAAGTTCACAACAAGAGACCCATGTATCACAAGTATCGAAGCTTTTTGTATCGGATTTTTTGCATTTTTCAGAAAAGCTTTGCTGTTGTTTGTACTCTATTAATTCTTCTCTGTTAAAACCCTTCAAATCATGAGGTACATTTGGCTGATAAATTACTGGATATTGTACTGTTTTCTCTTTCTCAGCTTTTTCGTTGTTTAACGTCTGTTGATAAACATTTTTTTGCTGATTTTGGAAATTTGATGTGTCGGTCATAATAATCGATTCTTCAGCATAAGTATTCGATGCGCCTTCATGTAAAGTAGTGACTGTCTCTTGTTGTTGCATTCTTGTTTGAAATTAGGGTAGCATCTGTACAAATATTGTCCACTAAAACAACAAGAATGGATTAAATCTAAAATCGAATAATTTCGATATTTAAAGTTTTGTTATTAATTATGGTTGATATAATGAGACGTGATTAAAAAATACAGAAAATTAATTCTATATATACATGTTGAATACAACATGATACTGTGGTCGATAAAATATGAAGAAGAGTGTAATGAAATAGAACTGAAATCGATAGGTAGATCAAAATAAGTCATTATTAACTTTTTTCATTTACTAAATGGCAAATCAAGCTTGTGATTTGTCGGATCATTGGAATAATATAAGATTTTTGTTTGACAATTATAATACATCTATAAGCAATGATTATTAATGAATGTGTAAAAGAAGATACAAAGATTGATTTCATCTTACTTTAAAGGCTGGGATGAATACGTTGATAGTTTTTTAATACAGTTACAAAATGTAGATATATCGACATCGTAACAGTCCTGATTGAGTGGATTTTTTGCATAATGTTTAATCTAGTCTTATTATTGCTTCGAATATCATATATTATTCTTATCTATCGATTCTTACGTAATTGTCCTTACCCCATTGTTCATTAATGTCTATTCTTTCCTTTTCTCTCATTATCTTATAGTGACGCATATAAATATATGCTTTTTATGTGAGAATGATACAATTGTATGATATGAAGGATTACAATAAAGTGTATCATCATTCATACTCTCACGATGGCAAGTAGTCAGAAGAGAAAATTTCCACTCAAGCACTAAACCAAATCATTCATGTTTTTAACAATATCTTGTTCCTTATACTTCAAGCTGGTCATTGCGAATATTTCTAATTGTGTACAATAAGTTAAAATAATATTGACAACACATTTAAAATAGTGTCTTAATAGTCACGGTAATCGTCCAACAAATTCTTTAGTATTAAACAAGAAATGATACTGTGTAACATAGATTCGTAGAAAATTAAGAATTAAATAACATAGAATAATAGTGCGATTTCATTTCGTTGATATGTGTTAAGCTGGTGTTCTACCATATACCGGATGGGAAATAATATTTTTCAAGGGGGGTACCACTATAATTTCAAATAGAAGATATGATGAATT